GCGCGCACAGACGGCCCGCACTTTCTGCAGCAGCTCTAATATATGGGTAGTTTTTCAGGAATTTCTGCACCACCAAATTCAGCACATGCGTCAGGCAAGGGATGTGCGGAAAACCGGCTAGGCCCAGCGCTGCTACGAGATTTCGCCCATTATTGCACACCACCAGGTCGGGCTTGAGGCTCAGTGGCAGCAACCACTCATCGGTCTGTTGTTCCATGCCCGTCCACAGAGGTGTGGTTTTTTTTCCCTCAAACATATCAGTTTTAAAACAGCCTGTTGTCATTTCCCCCTGGCTGTGCTGAAGTTGCCGGATGCTGGATGAGGTGGTGGTAGAGGAGGAGGAAGCGGAGTAGGAGGAGGAGGCGACAGGAGGCAAAGAGAAATGCCCTGCAATCCTCGGTGGCAGAAGGACATGTGCCAAACTGCTATCCGCATCAGGTTTTAAAACTGTCCATCTCCACCAGACGGAATAACAGCATTTCAAAGGCCACGAATTTTGAAATGCTGGCATTCAGGGCCAGGGATCGCGGGTGGGTTGGGACTTCCTCTTTCTCTCCAGTGTTTGGGAGATGGACAACTGAACGCTTCCATGGGACAGTGTGGAGATGCTTGGGGATGGTGGCGGACGTGGTGGCGTTGCTGCCACATCCTCTGTTTGTGGGGTGGCAGGTGCCACTGTGTCTCCAGAGGTGGAGGAAGAGGCCGAGACAGCAGCAGAAGAGGAAGCAGGAGACCTTTCTTGGTTTTTGATGTGCTTACTCCACTGCAGCTTGTGCTTTGCATGTAGATGCCTGGTCATGCAGGTTGTGCTCAGGTTTAGCACGTTTATGCCTCGCTTCAGGCTCTGATTGCACAGTGTGAAAACCACTCATGTCTTGTCGTCAGCACATTGTCTGAAGAACTGCCACGCCAGGGAACTCCTTGGAGCTGGCTTTGGTGTGCTCGGTCCCTGGGTGCGGTGGGCAGTAACAGGCGTACCGTCTCCGCTTTTGCACTCTGCTCCTTCTTATGCTATGCTGGTGCCTCTGTGCGACCACCGCCTCTTCCTCCAAACTGCACAGGTCACTCTCATGACCTTCATTCCATGTGGGGTCTAGGACCTCATCATCCTCCACATCATCTTCCACCCACTCCTCAACCCTGCCCTCCTTGCCAGTCGGCACACTGCGGAAAGCCACAGCAGTTGGCACCTGTGTTTCGTCATCATCAGAGACGTGCTGCGGTGGTCCTTGCATGTCCACATACTCACATATAAGTTGTGCATCAGTGCATCCCTTCCACTTCTAGGGCACGGCTAGGTGGATGGCCCATGGAAACCCCACCAGTAGAGTCATCAAAAAGCATAAGACTTGTGGCTCAGACTGCTTGGGTGATTTCCAAGGAGGTGAGGTGATAGACAGATGGCCATGGGCTGCAGGTGCCAACTCTGAGCTTTCTGCAGGGCACCGGGTGGGAGACAATGTGCAGGAACTGGAGGCACTGTCAGCCATCCAATCTACTACCGCCTGTACTTGTTCTGGCCTCACCATTCGTAGAGCGGTATTCGGGCCTACCAAATAACGCTGAAGGTTCTGTCGCGTACCCGCACATGATGAAGGTGTTTCACTTGTGCGTGTAGCTGGCACAGATCGATCACGCCCTCTCCTTGCAACAGGAATTCCACCAACACCAGAAACACCAAGACCAGGGCCACGTCCCTTATTTGATGCTCTCCTCATTCTTTGCGTTCACCCACCAAACTAACAGATGTTTTATGTCAGGCGGCAATGTAACCGCCAACAGTCAACAATTTTTTTTTTAGTTTTTTTTTTAGTTTATTGGACTGCAAGAAATGTACCGCAGGCCGCATATGTACTATTTAGCACCCAAAAAATTATAATTTTTTCAAGTGCGCTGTAAGCACACTATTAGACGCTTCTATTTGATTCTCAGATATGAAGTGCAATCCGCAAATGTACTATTTAGCAGCTAAGCACCCAGAAAATTAGAATTTTTACAACTGCGCTGTAAGCACACTATTAGACGCTTCAATTTGGCTCTCAGATATGAAGTGCACGCCCCAAAATTTACTATTTAGCAGATTAGCACCCAGAAAATAAGAATGTTTACCACTGTGCTGTAAGCAAACTATTGGACGCTTCTATTTGACTCTCAGATATAAAGTGCAGTCCGCAAATGTACTATTTAGCAGATTAGCACCCAGAAAATTTGAATTTTTACAACTTGTGAGGGTATTGCCCCAGAATTACAATATTGTTTAAAGGACCACTATAGTGCCAGGAAAACATACTCGTTTTCCTGGCACTATAGTGCCCTGAGGGTGCCCCCACCCTCAGGGACCCCATCCCGCCCGGCTCTGGAAAGGGGTAAAACTTACCTTTTTCCACCGCTGGGCGGAGAGCTCTCCTCCTCCGATCCTCCTCTTCTCCTCCCCGTCGGCTGTATGCGCACGCGCGGCAAGAGCTGCGCGCGCATTCAGCCGGTCACATAGGAAAGCATTCATAATGCTTTCCTATGGACGCTGGCGTGCTCTCACTGTGAAAAATCACAGTGAGAAGCACGCAAGCGCCTCTAGTGGCTGTCAATGAGACAGCCACTAGAGGATTAGGGGGAAGGCTTAACCCATTCATAATTATAGCAGTTTCTCTGAAACTGCTATAATTATGAAAAAATGGGTTAACCCTAGCTGGACCTGGCACCCAGACCACTTCATTAAGCTGAAGTGGTCTGGGTGCCTAGAGTGGTCCTTTAAGTACCTCTTAGCTATTAATAACTGGTTTAAATCTAGCAGCTTGTTATCTGGTAGTTTCTAGTGTAGAAAATATCAATCTGTTTTCTATCACTTAGATCTGTGTAACAAGTGTAGTAGGTGTGAAACAATATCACAAGTGACCGATGTAGTAAATTCGAATCTATTTGACTCTCAGATATGAAGTGAACACCCCAAATATACTATTTAGCACCAAAAATGTTTTTACTTTTTAAAACTCCAATGTAAGCAGCAGATTAGCAGCAAAACAATTAGAATGTTTACAACTGCGCAGTAAGCGCACTATTAGACGCTTCTATTTGACTCTCAGATATGAAGTGCACTCCCCAAAATCTATTGTTTAGCACCAAAACAATTAGAGTGTTTTTAATTTCGCTGTAACCGCAGTATTTGACGCTTCTATTTGACTCTCAGATATGAAGTGCACGCCCCAAAATGTACTATTTAGTAGCTTAGCACCAAAACAATTAGAATGTTTACAACTGCGCTGTAACCGCAGTATTAGACGCTTCTATTTGACTCTCAGATATGAAGAGCAGTCCCCAAAATGTACTATTTAGCAGATTAACACGAAGAAAATAAGAATGTTTACCACTGCGCTGTAAGCACACTCAGGGGCGTACCTAGAGCATGTGGCACCCGTCACACACAGTCACAGTCAGTCACACACACACAGTTACAGGCATGCAGTCACACACAAACACACACAGTTACAGACAGAGTCACACATACACACAGTTACAGGCAGACAGTTACACAAACATACATAACGTTACAGGCAAACAGTTACACACACACACAAAGTTACAGGCAGACCGTTACACACACACACACACAGTTACAGGCAGACAGTTACACACACAGTTACAGGCAGACAGTTACACACATACACACAGTTCCAGACAGACATTTACACACATACACACAGTTACAGACTGAGCACACTATTAGATGCTTCTATTTGACTCTCAGAAATGAAGTGCACCCCACTAAAATACTATTTAGCAGTTTAGCACCCAAAAAATTGTAAGTTTTAAAACTTCAATGTAACTGCGGTTGTAGAATATTGCATATTCTATGTTTCTATTGATTATATACATATGGATGTGTGGATTGACATAAGTAACAGGTGGTATCCAGGGGTCAAGTCCTGGGGAAAAAGGTGTGGGAACTCAAGATTCCCGCCTCCCCCCCCACCCCCTTAAAAAAAAATTATTTTTTTTTTTTAAATTACACTCCTATGCATATAGTGCAGTGCAGGGTGTGTATAATGAAGGTAGTGTGTTTGTAGTGAATGCAGAGTATGAATAATAAATGTAGTGTGTTTGCAGTGAGTGCAGTGTGAATAATAATTGTAGTGTATTTGTAGTGAGTGCAGAGTGTGTATAATTAATGCAGTGTGTTTTTAGTGAGTGCAGAGTGAGTGCAGAGTGTGTATAATGAATGCAGTGTGTTTTTAGTGAGTGCAGAGTGTGTATAATGAATGTAGTGTATTTGTAGTGAGTGCAGTGTGTATAACAAATGTAGTGTATTTGTAGTGAGTGTAGTGTGTATAATAAATGTAGTGTGTTTGTAGTGAGTGCAGTGTGTATAGTGAATGCAGTGTGTATAGTGAATGTAGTGTTTTTGTAGTGAGTGCAGAGTGTGTATAATGAATGCAGGGTGTGTATAGTGAATGTAGTGTGTTTGTAGTGAGTGCAGAGTGTGTATAATGAATGTAGTGTGTTTGTAGTAAGTGCAAATTGTGTATAATGAATTTTGTGTGTTTGTAGTGAGTGCAGAGTGTGTACAATGAATGCAGTGTGTGTAGTGTGTTTGTAGTGAATGCAGAGTGTGTATAGTGAATGTAGTGTGTAGTGAGTGCAGAATGTGTATAATGAATGCAGAGTGTGTATAGTGAATGCAGAGGGTGTATAGTGAATGCAGAGGGTGTATAGTGAATGTAGTGTGTTTGTAGTGAGTGAAGAGTGTGTATAATGAATGCAGCGTGTGCTGGATGATGTGTGTGTGCGCGCTGGATGATGTGTGTGTGCGCGCTGGATGACGTGTGTGTGCGCGCTGGATGACGTGTGTGTGCGCGCTGGATGACGTGTGTGTGCGCGCTGGATGACGTGTGTGTGAGTGCTGGATGATGTGTGTGTGTGTGCTGAATGATGTGTGTGTGTGTGTGTGTGTGTGCTGAATGATGTGTGTGTGAGTGCTGGATGATGTTTGTGAGAGTGCTGGATGATGTGTGTGTGTGTGAGTGCTGGATGATGTGTGTGTGTGTGAGTGCTGGATGATGTGTGTGTGAGTGAGTGCTGGATGATGTGTGTGTGAGTGAGTGATGGATGATGTGTGTTTGAGTGAGTGATGGATGATGGGTGTGTGAGTGCTGGATGATGTGTGTGTGTGCTGGATGATGGGTGTGTGAGTGCTGGATGATGGGTGTGTGAGTGCTGAATGATGTGTGTGTGAGTGCTGGATGATGGGTGTGTGTGTGTGAGTGCTGGATGATGGGTGTGTGAGTACTGGATGATGGGTGTGTGAGTACTGGATGATGTGTGTGTGTGTGTGCTGGATGATGGGTGTGTGTGTGTGAGTGCTGGATGATGTGTGTGTGAGTGCTGGATGATGGGTGTGTGTGTGCTGGATGATGGGTGTGTGTGCTGGATGATGTGTGTGTGTGTGCTGGATGATGGGTGTGTGTGTGCTGGATGATGGGTGTGTGTTTGCTGGATGATGGGTGTGTGTGTGCTGGATGATGGGTGTGTGAGTGCTGGATGATGGGTGTGTGAGTGCTGGATGATGGGTGTGTGTGTGCTGGATGATGGGTGTGTGAGTGCTGGATGATGGGTGTGTGTGTGCTGGATGATGGGTGTGTGAGTGCTGGATGATGGGTGTGTGTGTGCTGGATGATGGGTGTGTGAGTGCTGGATGATGGGTGTGTGTGTGCTGGATGATGGGTGTGTGAGTGCTGGATGATGGGTGTGTGTGTGCTGGATGATGGGTGTGTGAGTGCTGGATGATGGGTGTGTGTGTGCTGGATGATGGGTGTGTGTGTGCTGGATGATGGGTGTGTGTGCTGGATGATGGGTGTGTGAGTGCTGGATGATGTGTGTGTGTGTGCTGGATGATGTGTGTGTGTGTGTGCTGGATGATGTGTGTGTGTGTGCTGGATGATGGGTGTGTGAGTGTGCTGGATGATGGGTGTGTGAGTGCTGGATGATGGGTGTGTGAGTGCGGGGGGGGAAGCATTTTTTTACTTTATGTATAATTTGTATTTATCCCCCCTCCCTGCTTCTTACCTTGTCAGGGAGGGGGGAGATCGCCTGGTGGTCCGGTGGTATGTTGGAGGGAGCCAGCCGCTGCACAGAGGGGCCATCACATGCAGTGTTCCCTCTCCAGCTCTAACTCTCGCGAGACTCGCCTGTGCGGAGCGTTGCCATGGTAACAGCCGCAGGTCTCGCGAGAGTTATAGCTGGAGAGGGAACACAGCGTGTGCTGGCCCCTCTGTGCAGGTAGCAGGGCCGGTCCTGCAGGATCACTAGCGGGAACGGCGTTCCTGCTTTGGAAAAAGTGCAGGAACGCCGTTCCCATGCGTTCCTGCAGGACTCGAGCCCTGGTGGTATCAATAAGTCACAAGGCTTTCTTTGTCCGAGAGCTCTGGAATGTGGATGTGGGGGTCTTGTCCTTATATGGCTAGAGTTAAATGCTGATGTTAGTATTAGCATATCTTTATAGTAACAGAGGGACACGGGGTCGCTCTCTTGGCTTGGCTCTTGGCTCTGTACAACCAGGGCCGGCCTTAGGGGTGTGCGAGCTGTGCGACCGCACAGGGCGCCATGGAACAGGGGGCGCCCTGTGGCCGACACAGCTCACTCATGGCCGGAGTGCAGGGGAGCTAAAAGAGGTACCTGGCTGGAGGATTAATTGTTCTCCACCCGGGTCTATTTAAAAAAATAAATAAATAAATAAATCGCGGCAGAGGGGGCGGGGTTTACCGAGTGGCGGAGGCGGGGCTTATCGAGAGGCGGAGACGGGGCTAATACCTCCCGAAGCCCCTGCTGTACAGGAAGAGGGAAAGATGCTTCCCCATCAGCCAACTGCATCCACTGGAAAGAGGTAAGTGTGTGTGTGTGACTGTTTGCCTGTTTGTGTGACTGTCTGTGTGTGTGTGTGACTGTCTGTGTGACTGTTTGCCTGTTTGTGTGACTGTCTGTCTGTGTGTGTGTGTGACTGTCTGTCTGTGTGACTGCCTGTCCTTGTGTGTGTGTGTGTGTGTGACTGTCTGTCTCTGTGTGTGTGTGACTGTCTGTCTCTGTGTGTGTGTGTGACTGTCTCTGTGTGTGACTGCCTGCCTGTGTGTGACTGTCTGTGTGTGTGACTGTCTGTCTGTGTGACTGCCCATGTATGTGACTGCCTGTGTGTGTGACTGTCTGTCTGTGTGACTGTCTGTCTGTGTGACTGCCCGTGTGTGTGACTGCCTGTGTGTGTGAGACTGTCTGTCTGTGTGACTGTCTGTGTGTGTGACTGTCTGTCTGTGTGTGTGACTGCCTGTGTGTGTGACTGCCTGTATGTGACTGCCTGCCTGCCTGTGTGTGTCTGTCTGTAACTATCTGTCTGTGTGTGACTGCCTGCCTGTGTGTGTGACTTTCTATCTGTGTAACTGCCTGCCTGTGTGTGTATAACTGTCTATGTGTGTGTTACTGTGTGTCTGTCTGTGTGTGTGACTGCCTATGTGACTGTCTGTCTGTGTGTGTCGCTGTAGCTGTGCCATTGTTTGTGCCTGTGCCTGTATGTGTGACTGCCTTTAACGGAGTGTGTGTGTACATGCCTGTAACCGAGTTTAAATTTCCCCCACCCCTTCCTGTCAAGGCCGCACTTTGACTGACAGACGCTCACTCACTGACAGACGCACACTCACTGACAGACGCACACTCACTGACAGACACACACTCTCATATACACTGACAAACAATGACATACACACATACACTATTACTTGGACACACACTGACAGATGCACACTATAACTGACAGACGCAAGCACTCACTGAAAGATGCACGACTCCACTGACCGACACATACACACTGACTGACACACACTCACTGACCGACACACACTCACTGACCGACACACACTCACTGACCTACACACTCACTGACCTACACACTCACTGACCGACACATACACACTCACTGACTGACACATACACACTCACTGACTGACACATATACACTCACTGACCAACACACACATTCACTCACAGACACACACACATTCACTTACAGACACACACAATTACACACTTACAGACACACACAATTACACACTTACAGACACACACACACACACACACACATTCACTTCAAAATAAACACTCACAGACACACACACAGACATTTCCACTAACACTCACAAACTAATATTTTTTACATTTATTTTAAATCCACCCAGCCTCCCTGGGAAAGCTGGAGTGGATTTCTTACCAGCAGTCCAGTGTGGCTGCTGGGCAGGCAGGCAGGGGGCGCACAGGCTGAGTAAGCAGCGCTTAGTGATGCCGGGAGCCGGACTGACGTCATATTCTGGCTCCCGGCTTCAGTAAGCGGCGCAGAGGAAGCTGAGCAGGAAGAGCTCAGGTGAGTATGTCCTTCGCTGCCCGCTGCCAGCCTTGGGGGGGCTCAAAAGTGGCCAGCCGGTCAGCTCTTGAGCCCCCCAGGATGCGAGGCAAGCAAGGGATCTGCCTGGGGGTTTGGAGGGATGCTTTTTTTTGCCGCCCCCTGCAAAGTGGCGCCCAAGGCAGATGCCTTGTTTGCCTCGTGAAACACACGTCCCCGGTGCCTGTGTGTGTTACTGTATTCAGGCAACTTGGTGGGAGGTGGGGGGGGCGCCGTGAAGACTTTTTGCACAGGGCGCCTAATTGCCTAAGGCCGGCCCTGTGTACAACGATGTAACTCTCCCATCAGAAGTCCAGCAATTACCATCTGCTGTTGAATGTCCATAATCCTGTAACATAATTTATTATGTTTTATTATGTATCCGTAACAAAGAATAAACCGTAAGTCAGATTGCGTATTACTACTTTTCAATAATATAGACATATATTATTGTGGCGAGCATTTGGCCCAAGACTATATATACAAAAGACGTATATATATATCAGTCAACTGAAGACAAGAAGAAATTAAGAAGATTCAACATTAACACCGTTCCAAATTACATTTTACAGCGGTATTTGAAGGTTCTATTTGACTCTCAGATATGAAGTGCACCCCACCCCACTACTGTACTAGTTTGCAGAATTCTTTCCTAGGCTGTCCCTATCAGCGGCAGCATCCTCTCCCTACACTAATAAGACCTCATGTGCGTGCGGCGCTACGCGACTCCAGCTTATATATAGAGGCTGGGTCACATGCTGCACTGGCCAATCACAGCCATGCCATTAGTAGGCATGGCTGTGTTGGCTTCCAAGGGCACAAAAGTCAAACGTTTGTTAATTGGTTGCCCTGCAGCCTTTCAAAACGCACCATTAAATCGCTGAACACCGAACTCCAACTCGAATATACAGTCCGGGGTCCAAAAAACCTAATGTTTGGTACGAACCCGAATTTTACAGTCCGGGTTCGCTCAACTTTAAGATTGACAAATAATATACGTGCTCTATAATCTTCATAAATCACATTTTTGAAACCAATAACAAGCAAGTTTACTTAAAGAAAAGAATGATAAGATGTTTCATTTAGACCCTTGGAGGCAGCTGTGTCCAATGTGAAAATGTAAATACGTCAAATGTAAATATATATATATATATATATATTATATACACACACACAAGATCCAGCGCGCTTATTCATCCACTCAACAGCAACTTCAAAGCTCACACATTTTATAAGTTGTTTCATTAGTTGTGTTTTTTCAAAACACCCAATCTAGGCAAAAGTAATTGGGGTCCAGTTATAGTATGTGATCATACACAACATTAATGCACCCCATTTTTGGCAGGCCCTACTCTAACAACGTAATGTCCGCTCTTATGAGATTAACCCACTTACTTGGGGGGGAGAAATTCCATCTGGGGCTCTATGCAGTACAAGGCTAAATAGGGATGAGGCACCTGTGACAGGAAGGATGCAAAACCAAGGAGTTGGCCTAGACTGCCAAATATATATATATATGAAAGCAGGGGGCTGCACTCACCTGAACATGCATAAATGGGGTGCTGCTGGGGCCAATTCACACAATACACAACATCCATCACCTAGTTTGAGTGTTTTTTTAAAATAAAAAAAAAGCTAATAAAATAACAGTATAGTAATAAAGTTAAAATTTTAAAAGGTTACCGTATTTATCGGCGTATAACACGCACTTTTTCTCCCTGAAAATAGGGAGCAAATTGTGGGTGCGTGTTATACGCTGGCCCTTTAAATACTGCAGCCGCCTGAGGAGTTTCTGTTTCCTGTACCCGGTCGGACTGACAGGAAGGTGCACACTGAGCGTGCACCTTCCTATCACTCCGGCCGGGCACCGCGGACAGCAGAGCAGCTCGGCCACGCTACAGGGGAGGGGGGTAAGAAGGGGTACAGAGGGGAGGGGTAAGAAGAGGGGAGGGGGAGGTGAAGGGGAGGGGGGGAGCAAGAAAGGGGGGGGTGTATGAAGAGGGGGGAGGGGGGAGTAAGAAAAGGGGGTAAGAAGAGGGAGGGGGAGTAAGAAGGAGTAAGAGGGGAGGGGAACCAAGAAGAGGGGAGGGGGGGAGTAAGAAAGGGGTTGAGAAGAGGGGAGGGGGGAGAAGAAAGGGGGTTAAGAAGAGGGGAGGGGGAGTAAGAAGGGGTAAGAGGGGGAGGGGGAAGGGTGGGCAAGAAGAGGGGGAGGGGAGTAAGAAAGGGGGCAAGAAGAGGGGAGGGGGGGAGTAAGAAAGGGGGGTAAGTAAGAAGAGGGAGAGGGGGGAGTAAGAAAGGTGGGTAAGAAGAGGGGGAAGGGGGAGTAAGAAAGGGGGGTAAGAAGAGGGGGAGGGGGGAGTAAGAAGGGGGTAAGAAGTTCTTTATTTGAAATTTAAGGTTTTATTTCCTGAAATTTTCTTCTTAAAATGAGGTGCGTGTTATACGCCGGTGCGTGTTATACGCCGATAAATACGGTACTTAAAATCGCCAATCTTAGCAAACGAGTATGGAGATTTAGGTACAACATATGGCCATATCACCTATCTTAGCAAACAAATAATTACTGTGATGTAGTGGTGAGCCATATAGTGTAACTGAATCCCAATATTTGTTTGCTGAGATATGTAATTTTAAAGGATCACTATAGTGTCAGGAAAACAAAGCAGTTTTCCTGACACTATAGTGCCCTGAGGGTGCCCACACCCTCATGGTCCCCCTCCCATGGCTTATCTTAATCCAGCACCGGGCTCCCTCGGCGCTGGTGACCTCTCCTCCCACTCCGACGTCAGCTCCCCCGGCCGACGTCACAGGAGCCGAATGCACATGCGCGGCAAGTCGGAAGACAGCCACTAGAGGCTGGCTTAACCCCAAATGTAAACATAGCAGTTGTTTACATATCTCTGAAACTGCTATGTTTGCATCTGAAGGGTTAGAACCTGAGGGACCTGGCACCCAGACCACTTCATTGAGCCGAAGTGGTCTGGGTGACTATAGTGTCCCTTTAAGTAGTCCTGTAAAATTTAAACTGTATTTTTTTGTTGTATGTGTGCTGTTCCCTAAGCTGTATTTTGTATATAGTTTGGTCTTTATTTATTTATTTATTTATTTATGTTGGTCACCTCTACTAAGAAATGCATATTATGGGTCTGCCTCAATTCTGTGTATATTTGGACTGAGTACACTACCCATCAATTATGGGTTTCCTCTTGGAGGTGACCAAAGGAAAGCATAAATTGAGGAGAGTTTTTGGAAGCGGTTTAAGCAGTGAGTATTGCAGATAGCGCGTTCATTTCCAATGTTAAAATTAGTGTAGGACCCACCAATATTGGGGTATGTGACTTAGCGGTGGGCTTATCACAACATGGCCATATGGTGTAACTGAATCCCCATCCTTGTTTGCTAAAATATGTGATTTTCACTAGCCCTGTAAAATTTTAAGTCTATTTTTTGGTATGTGTGTGCTGTTCCCCTGTATTTTGTATATATTTGGTCTTTACGGCAGCCCCACTACTTAGAAAGGCATTTTCCTGGTGTTTGCCCCAATTCCCTAGTGCTTCAGAATGTGTTTGTGCTTTATAAATGAAGTATAATAAGTATAGTAATAATAATAATAACCAAGGGCTAGTGTGCTTTTATGAATACTGTTATCAGACCCGAGGTCTGAGCATCTCAAAAATGCAGTTTTAATTCTTCAGAATATGTATTGTATTAGCAGATAAGTAGGGCTTCTAATTAAAGACGGATAAAATGGCTGCACCCACACAGCATGTGCCAGCTAGGAAATGCACTAAAAAAGTTATTAACTTAATAATGCACAAGTATAATCCACGGGCCAGACTCACAAAAACACAGAAGAAAAAAATAAAAACTGCAATGCATAAAAATTTATCACTCAGGGAGGGCTTCCAGAAAAGCCTTTATTAAGTCTTTCTCATGCTTGGAATTCTCAGTAGAGCGTTTGATTGGTTGGCTTGTAAGCTCTGAACCAGGAAGCACCTCTAGTGGCTGTCTGAGTGACAGCATTTAGAGATGTTACTAGTCAGCAATGGATTGGCTAAGATCATTAAGACTGATGATCTCAGCCATGGATGCAGAGACAGCCACGTCGAGACCTGCGCAGCATCGTAAAAAACCTAAGTAAACTCACCTTTCTCATGTGATCGGAGGGTGGCCTGACACCTAAATAGTTAGCTTAACACTATAGTGTTAGGGATACATGTTTATATTCCTTTAAGT